CAGCCCAAAAAAAGGTACATGTTGGCAACTTGGCATTCTATTGCCGTACAATGTTAATTCTTCTTCCATCTTTGAATAACAAATAATTAATTAAAAATAATAAACAGGTTAAAATTTATTTTTATTTTTAAATATGTCCATATAATAAATGAGAAAAAGTATAAAAATATATAAAAGAATATGAGGAAAAAATAATTAAAGACAACATTAAAAAATATACATTAAATATTAAGATAAATATAAATTAAAATTTATAAAATAAATCACGACACTTTTCAAATTTAAAACTTATAAATACAGGGGAAGGGGAAGGTATTTTTGGCATCACAGCTAACCATGTTGCAGATGAACAGAATAAAAATACGTTGGCATGTTATTTGTATTGAACACTATTTGCTTCATGCTGTGGGATTTCTTGTAGTTTTACAACCTGTCGCAGCGGAAGCTCTGAACAGTTCACTTCAAGGCCAGAAAAGAAAAAGAAAAAGAAAAAAAAGAACAGTTCACCCGGATGGGCTTCGAGAGAAAGCGAGACGCCCGGCATTTGGTGGTATTCGTTCCGACTTCCCGAATCCCATTCCATCGATCACAACCTTTTTTGGGAATCCTGACTCTTGATTGGCTTTCCTTGCGTCCACAGGCTACCTTCTCACTCAAGCCCTCCCTCCAAATTCCAGACCCAGCAATGATGACCAGCACCCATCGGGGCCAACCACCACTACTTACTAAGAGGACTGACCGCCACCGACCGCGAATCATGGCCGGCGGCGCCCCCTTTTGCTCTAGCTTCTCGACAACCACCTACACTGAGAGGGAAACGACCACGACTCACCATGAACGAGACAACCACCACCCATCGCGAGGACGATCGAAGTCCGCCGCCGAGCTTCTCAATTCCATCACAAGCTTGTTTCCATCACCTCTATCACAAGTCCAGGTCCCTCGAACATCAGGCTTCCCTTACATGGCACCTCCATTCTAGCACCTTGAGCTTCTTTATTTATTTATTTTGTGTCTTAAATCTGATCTGGTATTGTGCTTTCCGGAATTGGCTAACAACTTCTTATTCTTCGGTGATTATCGGTGGTTCAGCATGTTGTTGCTGAGGCGCGGGAGGGATCGGAGGAGAGTTCTTCTTCTTCTTCTCGGCCTTTTCATATTTTTAATACATTTTACCTGATGTTTAGTATAAGACATCGTTTGACTTTTATTTTGACCCTAAATATAAGACACTAATCCATTTTGTCTCTAATATTTATGTCTTTTTTTTAAGGCATTCCTTCTAATAATAGTAGTTATAACCAACACACTTGATTAGGAAGGATATTTTAGGAAAAACAATACATATTTATTACAAATAACTTAATTTATTTTCTCAATCTCTTCAAATTAGTTAACTAACTCTTATAATTAGGATCGGAGGTAGTATAATAAAATTATATCAGGATCATATCTCGCTATCAAATATACTCTCAAAACTCAATTTTATTTCTTTTTTGATTTTTGCCGAGAAAGTATCCAAATCATTGAACCATCCACAAAGGAGTAACAGGAGCAACAAACAACGCCCAAACATGAGTTCAACAGTCCAAGTAGCAACAGGACGCAGAAAACAAAAAAAAGACAGGACTTGTAACTTAATCAAAAGCAAACGGCTAAACAACTAAGCAGCAAGAACAAAAGACAAAGAACCCAGAAACTCCTAGCCAATTTAGCAAAGAACACTAGGAACCCCCGCTAGCCCACACTTTTTTGGATCTTGATAGTATTCAATGATCGACTAATCCAATCCCACCCAACAAAGGTCCACTTAAAGGCTGGGGTGTCCCAACGAAAAACCCAGTTCTATTTCACTTTTTATTGGGCCAATATTATTGTTGATTTTTACAATTTGATTCAATTTTATTTTGATCCATTTAGTTTCAAATTGTTAATTTTGATTCCTTTAGTTTTATACTCATTAAAAATATAAAGAGCATTTATTAAAGACTAAAAAAGTATGAAACTATACAGACCAAAACTTAGGATTTAGGACTACAAAAACTAAAAGTAAAATTAGATCAAACTATAACTATGACTATAACAACTAACAATAATATCAACCATTTTTTTATTCAAATTTCATAAACAACGGGGACTTGCTTCTGGGTTTTGTCGTATGACAGAGTAATTTAATTACTTTCTCGACCTCTTTAAAATTCTGGTCCGCTCTGTTTTGGAGGCCGCTAAGCATAAACCTTATTGCAGTGGCCCTTAACCTGCCCCTTGTTCGGATACAAATTTAAGTCAACTGAGGATTCCCCACCTACCCCAAGTAAATGGGCTGGTAAAGGAAAAAAGAACATGAAGAAGATTTGTGTGGCTTTTGAAGGAAAAGTTGACCACAAAGCCCAACAGGCAAAGCAACTTGCTTTTTCCGCATTTAGTATATGAAGGACCCAGGCGTCGCATAATCGTATCATTAACCCAAAATAAACACTTTTGTTGGTTAAACGGCCCAAAACAAGCAGTTTTATTGGGCTGGCAGTGTTCCCTTCTTCCTTCCCCGATATTGTCCATTGGTATCTGCTAAGTTGATTTTGATGCTTCCCATTTTTGTTTTTGTGAAGTTCCCATCAACATATTGTTTGATTTTTCTATCGCTGTTTCTTCGATGGAGGATGAAGAAGCGACTGACAATGACGATGGAAGCAGTGAGTATCTGAAAATGAACACCATCGGCGAGGACTGGAGATCTGTGATGAAGGCTCTGGCAGAGAGAATCATGGGAGAGTGAGCACCGAAAGATCTTGTTTGGGCAAATATGTCTTTTAATTTGAATCCACAGAACTAGGCTTCCCACATGTAGATGCCTACAGGGAGAACTTTTGCCATGAAAAAAAGAAAAAAAGTATCTAAACTTGCTTTTAAAGGAAATGAAAGGCATTTACTATTTCTATCAGGCCACTTTCGTCTTCGGCCGAAAGTTTTCTTTTGCATTGTTTACTCAGAACGCAATCTTCTTGCTGCTTTTATCCACACAGCAAGATGCTCAATCAATCAAATCAAATCAATAGATGAGTGGATAGGTAACAGGACTTGGTTCCAGTGAAATGGACTGGTGTCTTACAGCTTACAGTTTAATGAAGTCAGGTTTGACTTCTTGCTTGGAAAAAATATCTATATTTAGTTTAGTAGTTTCTCAAATAAAATTAGCTTATGGTAAGATGAATAGAACACCTTGAATCTCACTATTTTATGGCGCTTTACAAATTCCTGAATTACAACGTGTCATTTCCTTAACGTCAAAAGTCAAAGTGCGTCGAAGTCAAAGGTGTTGCGGAAAAATGTACCTCGGAATGAGGAACGTCGAACAAATGTCGTTGTGCATGATTAAAGGTTCGGCTATGACCCACTAGGACGTGATAAAACCATAAAAATGACATCTTATCCTGTTTCATTATTACTCTTTCTGTTTTTTATTATAAGAGACATTTGATATTTATGGCATATTCTTATATATAAAAAAACACTTAAAAGTTGTTTCTACTTTTTTGTGTTGATTTTCTATTTTATCCATATTTATTGTCTCCAACTCAACTCTCTCTCCCTCCCACTTATCTTTCTTTCAATAATTTAATTGTTCTCTCTCATGCTTTCTCCTTATTAATGAGGGCATTTTTGAAAAAAAATTATATTTTTTACACATTAATTGTTCTTAACTAATTTTAACTGTTTTTTTTATCAACGTAATTCGATTATTCGTTTCTTATAATAAAGAACGGAGGGAGTATTATTTTGTCCGAACCGGTGCAAAAACTGATTGAATGAGGATCTTAGTTTGAGATTTACAATCTCTTAATTATTCCATATCTTATATCCTCGCCTTTTGATGAAACTGAAATTCGATTCATGTACTCACAAATAGTAATGCTTCAGAAATCCAGGTTGGAGCCGTTGTGAGGACTCGCTCCTTCACTTTTGGTTATCTCTGTCATAGCAACATGTCAAATACTCCTCCGATCCTTAATATAAGATTCATTTAACTAATTTAATTAAATTAAGGAAGTTAGCTAAATTAGTTAATTATAAGAAATGTGACACGTTTTTTCTAAAATACCATAATCATCTTTCTTAATATTTTCTCTTCCTTTTCTACTTGATTATGGTTGAAAAATTATCGTAATTTAGAGAAAATTGATAAATATGAGAAATTGATATTATATTTAGGATCAAAATCAACTCAACAATTGGGTTCTATATTAAGAACCGAAGGAGTACAAAAATTAATCATTGGATTGAGGCTTCGCTTTTCATGCAATATTGGCGTTAACAATAACTTTTAAATTCTTTCAAGACATGGAATCTGTGCAGCTATCTAAGCAGATTCTTCATGTGAATGATATATATGTGCAGCTTAAGCAAAGGAGAATATAATATATGAAATGCTCTTCACATCAGTACAGAAGGGTGATAATGGACAGATATCAAGTTGGAATGAAAAACTCGACTGTATTTTCTTTCAATGATTCAAAGACTGCATTGTAAGAGCCACGGTGATGAAGAAAGGTGCACGTACTTAAATTCAATTTCAGATTCGGGCTTTAATTTGTGAAAATGAATTAAATGATGAGCCCTCGCGGCACTTTCGGTTGTATCATACTCCTTCGGTCCTAAATGTAAGACCCTTATACACACTAGTATAAGGGTCTTATATTTAGGACCGGAGGAGTAATTTAATTTGCCAAGAAAGAGAAAACGATAGTGGATGAAACCAACTGGCTCTGTTAAGCTAGTTTAATTCACAAATCTGATAACCCCACTTACGATAATGAAATCCTTTGGTTCAAAAGACTAACTTTTCAAGGTTTTTCATTACATATAAATATTACAATGATTAAGTCCTTTAATGCATTTTTGTGTCTTCTTTCGTTGAGGTTTGAATCTAATATTTTGTTTTGGCCTTAGTATATGTATGAATTGGAAGAGAATGAAGGACCAAAAAAAAAAACACCCAACCAAAATGGAACTTTCGCTTTATTTCTCGTGGCTTCTCTTTCTTTACTACAAGGATATAACCAAACGATGCATATTGTGGGAGCAATGTGTGTACAGGAAAATGAATACATCGAAGATGACAAAGAATAATCATTATACAAATGAACTAGAAAGAGTGTATATGCCAGAACAGGGCTTCATGCAAAGAATGAAAAAATGAAGAGTGTGTGTAAAATACTAAAATTAAGCATCAGAAGGCGCGATCCAGTGTCTGCCATTGACGAAGCTCTTCACGAGAAACGGATGGGCGGATTCAAAGTCCAACTCACGGGCCAGAGACATCCCACGCGCCGCCGCGGCTCCCGGGCCCCAGCACTTGTACACTCCGAAGAACACGGTCCTGACCACGATGCCACATAACTATTAACCATATAATAACGAAAAACGCTGCGCAGAACATGCTTGCCAGAGCGATTTTCCTTGATTTCATTTGAGGTAGTGTTAAACACTAAATGTAAGTATTAACAACGATTCAACGTCATGAGAAACAAGTCCTTCCATTAAAATCAAACCCTTTGGATGTTATATTACCTCTGATGTATAATATAAGAGCTAATTGATTAATCTGAGTAGAATAAGAAAGTTTGTTAAGTATTTTTGTTAAAATAATTATTGTTTTATCTAAAATATCCTTATTAATCATGTGTATTAGCTATGACTATTATTTAATATGTGCAATTGCTCTAAAGACTACTTTGAAAAAAATAGATGAATATGATAGACAAAATAGATTTAGGTCTCGTTTTTAAAATTAAATTAAAAGTTAAACTAGTTCTTATTTTAATGACTAGAGGTAGTGTTACGCTGTTTTTTGTCATGGACTCATCAGCATAATGTGAAAATAGTAACTTCGGTGAGCTAATTGGATTAACCCTTTCAGATGGTTGTGTTGCAATTCTTGAAAATGTTTTCCAATCGGATTAAACCAGCTCGATTCATTTAACTTGATAGTTAAATAAACCACATTAATTTTGCCCCTCTAACACGTTACATAATATAGCCTAAAAAATAGAAAACTAAATAACTTTCAAAATACAGTATTATAATATTTACTTGTTTTTGTTGTCCACATGGTTCCAGTCGTCCCAACCTTCGGGCGCAACAATGTCATCGAAATACGTATAAGCGTAGACGATTCTGGAGTACTGGCCCAAGGCCCGGCCTACATAGAGTGGGCCCGTACCCGTCACCCTGCACCGTACGAATGTGAAGCCCGTCTTCTCGTCCACGTGTTTCCTCTTGTGGGCCGCTATCGACCCGAATTTCGTCGCTATCGAGTGCACCACGCAATCCTGCATCAACCGAGAATCCCACGTCATACTCCATTTCGGCCAAGTGAGGTGTCACTGTCTAGTAATATAATATAATATTCTTCGCAAAGCTTTTGAATTTTAAAGAACAGAGTGAAACTCGAGAAGGAAAAAAAATAAAAGGTGGAGGAAAAAGCGTTTTTGAAAAGCTTCTAATCCAAGGTTTAGACTTCAGCTGTATCGCATGGTGCATTACATGTGGGAATCAGTTTTGGTGCTCGTCATTTTGACGAGCACTCTAAACTTATCAGATTTGAATCGTTTATATCTAATTTGAATGGTTTAGATTTATATAGTTAAGAGATTATCTCTATTTTAAATTCTATATATATTAAAAAATTATTTTAAATAAATAAAAATTAAAAATAAATAAATTTGTACCATCTAAATAAAATATAAACAATTTAAATATGATGAATTTAGAATGTTAACAAGAGTGATGAGCACGGAAATTAGTTCCTGCCCATCAATTGTTATCTGGAATGCCTTGGCTGTGTTATGCGCATGACCCTGCGTTTTTCAGGCACCACCAGTACACCACTAAATGCACGTAACTATGCCCAAAAATGCAATACCCTTTTTCCAGTGTCAGCTGTGAAAAATAAAGCTGTAAAAAAGTTGAACGTACATAGAATGGAAAGTAATTAAAGTAAAGAAGAAATGAGAAGACCTTGTACATGGAGCGGCCATTGCCGAAGATGAAATCGATGGAACCCTCGATGTAGCAGTCCTTGAAATAATGGCGGCCGGCGTCGTCACACAGAGTGTCTTGTGCTCCGTAGAAGCCGCATCCTGAGAAATAAGCCTTGTCCCCCGATATCCGAAACGCCGCCGCTTGCCATCCCTGCATTCCCGGCATCGGCGCCGGCGCCGTGTTCTGCGTTGTTCACTTAAACTCTATCATCTTCGCACTTTCAAAAATATAGCTAGTTGATATTTCATCGCATTTATGGCTTTTCTTGAATCTTATTACCTTAAAGCTGATATTCCTGGCGGAGAAATAGTTGGCGAAGACAGTAACAGAAGCAGTTCTGTAAGTACGCAGCTGCTGTCCGTTGGGACCAGGGTCGCTGGCCCTGTCATGCCATTCTATCACCGTCACGTCCCTCCCCGCTCCCTGAAACGTTATGTATGGTTTCGTCGCCGGCACCACCACCTTCTCTCTGCATTCCCACCATCCCCAACAAAATTTCATTGTCATCAACGTAAGCAAATAGATCAGTGAAAGAAATAGAGGACAAAACAACACTGCAACATTATATATATTAATTATTAATTCTTAGTTACATATATATTGTTGCCAAGAGCAATAATTATACATGTAGTATCCGGCGCTGATATTTATGACGACGTTCATTCGATTGTTGTCTGGGACAGAATCGACGGCAGCTTGCACTGATATGAATTGCCCGGTGCCGTTCAAGTCCACGGTGATTACACGGTAACCGATAGGGCCCGTCCACCTGTGACGGTGCTGCGATGAGGAGTTCGTGCAAGATACGGGTGAACTCGGGGTGTTATCGTCGGAAGCCGTGCATCTCACTGTTTCTGCATGAAACAATAACAAACCAGAAACGAAAATCAACGAGAAGAAAAAGGAAGCCATTACAATAGGAATTGGAAGCACATATTAATAATAAGAGGTTGTTAAAGATGAGAGAGCGTCAGAATGTGGGATTTGCAGGAGGGCGGGAGCAGAATCGAAACTTCGGGAGAAATATGCAGCGTCGTCAAAAGTAAAGTCCAGTGGGAAGATAGAGAAGCAATTTATAGCCTCGGATTACTTGGGCATGTTTAGATTGACGGCTCCAACGGTCACTTTTGCCGGGCATCCTCTTTTAGGGGGCAAGCTAGCTCATACAGCTAGTTTTTTTGGGACCAAAAAAAAACATGGCTGATGATAGAGTTATTCTGAAATTATCATTAAAATATATCACATTTTTAAAAGAAATGCGTCATTGGGTGGCGTCGCACATAAATCTACAAAAGATGTGGGTGTGGGTCATATAATCATATTGCTTGTTATGCTCAGTTGGATTTGCATTCTCGAGGTGAGACACACCCACCTGGAACTCAGACGACGTCCCTGAACTTCAAACACCAAGCCCGTGACCATCCCCATGGCGCTTTCCTATCTCTTGTAGGCCTACGTCCACAGCGTCACTGTTGCATATTCGTTTTCCCGTACCTGCATTTAATTATGGACACAAAAGGAGAAGTTGACATTTTGGTCTCTACTCAATTGTGTTTTTCTCTTTCAGGGAATCAAAGTCAGGATCACCGCCAAAAAGGCCTGCTTAATGACTCGAAAGCTTTGCTTATGAGTTCAATCCTCCTGGAATCTCATGCTGTGGAAATGAGGTTGGTTAAAGATTAAAACATACTGAAGTTGGTATTATCATGCACTGTGTTAAGCAAATCATTCCTTATTGCCTAAAATTCGATGCAAGTGGCTGGCACGAAGAAAGCAGAAAAGTGGGGCCTAGTCTGACTCTTGGGGACCTAATATTGCGCCGAGTTAAATTCATTGAATTACTTGTGGCTGCATTTTGAGGCCGGATGATTTGGTCGCATTATGATTGCATGGCATCTTTGTTTTGGCTCAAACGGTCATATGGTGGAAATGGGGTGCATGACAAATTATGGCCCCAGCATGGGTGAATAGTATTTTGTATTGTGCTTCAATTACCCTTTTTTTGTCTTTCTGGTCCCCATATATGTGGGGCCCTTACTGATATATTCATAGAAAGCGCACGCAATTTTTCGAACGTTGGGACCTGAACTCCTTTGTCCTGTGAACTTTGCCCCAGACAAAAAAAGCCAACCTCCCCCAAAAAAAACTGATTGGCCGATAATGAAATTTAATAGTACCCATTAACCTGGTTAAAAATAAAAACGACGGAAAATTAATGATTGAGGCAATCATGCATTGGGCTGGAGCAATCCAGTCCCAATGCAATAAAAAGCATCGGTCCATTGCCCTCAGCAACAACACTGTGCAATCACTGGCCCAAGCTCCCCACGGGGGGCCCCTTTAGTTATTAGCCTTAACCTTTTTTTATTTATTCTGGGTTACAAGCCTTAAAGATGAAATATTAGTTACAAGAAAAACTGATATTTAGGAGGGGGAAAAAAAATCTGATGCATAAAGTCCACTTTGAGCTTTCATGTTCCAGTTAGTAGAAAGCCATAAACCCATATATTGGGCTCACATACTATATGATCTTGCGAAACTGATCAGCCCGGATAACATCCAAAGGAGATGAGGCGATTGAGGCGAAGGTTTCTTCCATGACGGGAAGAATTTATATACTAATATAGATACCAATCTAGAGTTTATACAAGGACTCATGAGTAATAATACCCAAATCTGGCCACTGCTCAATAATTTTACAACTACACAAGACTGGAGCCAATCAAGCACACCATGAAGCAAAAAGGTAAAATAGCAATCAGTTCCGAAAGAATGCGAATGATCTCATGCCCCAAAGCCCCCATGTCCCGACGGTGTGTTGTCTGCAGGAAAAAATCATTGATTGTGGCGGTCACTGTATTATGCACAAATGGGTACTGCTCAATTTCAGTAAAGCTTGTTAAACCCAGAAGGAGGAGTGGATTCTCCCAGTCTGGGCAAGAAAGCTTCCCTCTCAAGAGTTAACTGAAGAGCTGCATTTATCCTCGATACGGCTACGCTCAGAAATGGTGCAGAGCAGAAGGCATAAGCGAAGACGGCCAGAGCTCTGACTACACCATCTGGATACCATGGAAATGACATAACTAAGAGCACTCCAATAATACCTAACCATGGGACCAAAACTGGTAAAATTGGAAGAAGAAACGCATTCATGGCGATCGAACACAGAGCGAAAGAACCGAGCAAATACAGAGACCATCCCAGAAGAGGGTGAACCGTGTGAGGAATGGTGAAGAATGGAGTTATATAGGCTGCAAGTATGCACCAAAATGCTACCAACTTGAGGCTGTTCTGCACTAAGTTAATGCTCTTATCGGATCGCCGATAGCACAGCTTTGAGAGACTCGGCCTCGCCAAACGGGTCATTGCTATTATTCCTATGTATATCGCACACTGGATCAGTACCACCGCCATCTCTGCACTATACCTGTACGCATCATAATTACGCACATCTTAATGAACATATTGCTTATTAAATTAAATATTCTGGAATGCCATGTTTTAGAATTGAAATGGAATTCACTGTTGAACTTACCCCAAAGTTTGACGACGTTGTTCATGCCACTGGAGGCCTAATGGCAGAACAGGCCACGACCACCAATACCATGGTTTTAACCAGGGTGCCCCAGGGAATGTGATCACACTATTTGGTCCGCAAGGGATGCTCCATCGTAGCTTCAGATCTGAAAAAAAACACAACATCACTCCATTTAAAATTCTGCAACTCAGTTCAGCTATTTCGTTCTACTTTAACTAATTAGTTTTACATTTACTCACAGTAGTACGAAGCATCCATCTGATATCCTAAAGGAAGCCTATATGTTCCCTCAAGCTTGGTGCCGTTTGGAGGCGGATGAAACAGTGGCCGATCAAGCAATTCCGGGAAGTAACTAGATATAAAACCTTGGTCCGCACCATCCGGATTTTCTCTTCCAATCTCCAATTCATTAACCATATCCTTGAACACCGTCATTGATGGCTGCAAATATTACATCATCAGATCGCATATTACTGTGATCAGTACAATTATTATACTATTATCTGTAGTGGTATGTAAAGTCGATTGCTTCGAACATCCGTCAGCAGATATGGGAACATCGTGTAAAGAAAGGATTTAAGATTATTAAAAGGTTTGGCTGAGACAGATGATGGTGATTAATAAATTTAAATTTAAATGATAATAATAGAGGGAGGAAGATGAATAAAGGAGTGACCTGCAAGACAAAGAGGCCGGTGTGGAAGATGCAGGGGTTGATAAAGACGGCGCAGAATTGTCCACATTGAAACAACTCATCGGTGTTATGAAGGAAGAGGTTGTCAGCATCCAACATGACCACCCTGTCGTAATCAACTAGGCTCCACGCGTACAGTTTATTTAACGTCAACTTGAATCTCTTGTCGAAATTATCTTGGTGCTTGTAGGGGTTATCCATTTTTCCACTCTCACCACTTTCGCTCCATCTTCTTTTCCCTGCATAATAATATCCCACAAAAACAAGCCATTATTAATCTCTCTCACTGGATGCCTTGTTCTGTTTTGTGCCCCACACGTAATTAATACATCTCACTTTCTTTTTTTTCCCCACTTTGTCCATCGGTACCATACCCGACTCAGTAGTTTCTCATCCAATCGCAATCATTTCAAATCCAAATACTACTAGTACTTTCGAAATGATTATTTAATATTCCACCATTCGAGTACCCTTAAGCCCAGTCTGACCCATAAAAGTATATCTTTCTTTCTTTTTTCCATTCCCCCCACCCCCACCCAATTTAACAGAGCTTGCTAGTGAAGCCTCTTTTCAAAAGAAAGAGAAAAAGGGAGGCTTTTAAGAAAGTAAAAGCTATAGATGACAGTGTATCTGCTCGTGAAGTCTCGGGATGGGGAGGGATGAGTATTAGTGTATTACTCAATTACTCAATTGGAAGAATACAAAGTCACTTTCAGTGAAAATTTGATAAGTCGACATGTGTAAGGATTTTAGGAAGTTGGGTTTCCACGTGTATGCGGCACGTGACATGAGCTAAAGGTCAAAAATTTATTGGTGAGCCGATAGCCCAACCACATTTTCTAAAAGGTTGGGGAAGTTAACAGAAAAGCTGACCAGTTGGATTTCCTAAAGTTCTCATACTCTTTTTTTTTTGGTTTAACACTCGTATGCTTCATTCTTGTTGATTACTCTGATCCAAATTTAAACCCCGATGTACTAAACGAAGCTTCAAGTGGGGTTTCACTACTCTTGTGTTACGACAAG